TAGTATAGTTTAAAAAAATCATAATTGATCAAGTTTAGGCAATCAACACTCTCGATTGCTTCTTAAATTCTTGAAATTTTGAGAATATCAAAATGTGAACAATTCTCACCATAGTATAGTTGAAACAAACCGTAAGAAGTTTAGGCAATCAACACTCTCGATTGCTTCTTAAATTCTTGAAATTTTGAGAATATCAAAATTTGAACAATTCTCACCATAGTATAGTTGAAACAAACCGTAATTGAAATTCAGGCAATCAAAACACCCTCGATTGCTTCTTAAATTCATGAAATTTTGAGAATATCAAAATGTGAACAATTCTCACCATAGTATAGTTGAAACAAACCGTAATTGAAATTCAGGCAATCAACACCCTCGATTGCTTCTTAAATTCATGAAATTTTGAGAATATCAAAATGTGAACAATTCTCACCATAGTATAGTTGAAACAAACCATAATTGATAAAGTTTAGGTAATCACGACCGTCGATTGCTTTTTAAATTCTTGAAATTTTTGATTACATATTACAAAAATATTTCCAAAAAATAATCAAATAACTAATGAATTGCATTGCCCAACTATTTCACAAATAAAGTGTTGCCCTTCAATTTAACCAGAGTATCCCACAATGGCTCTCGGAATATCGACACATTCCATTGTCGCAGCTACTATACAGCTCCTAAAAAGAAAGGACACTTCCATCACAGGCAGATCACACCAACAGCTACAACATTCAAATTGCTCCTCAACTGAGACGGAAATAAAATTGCAATAAAACTGGATATACTAAAAAGCAGAAAAAAAAGAACCACTGATACTCACTCCCGCAGACACAGAGAAGTAGAAATTAAACGAAGCAGCGCGCGGTCTGGTATCCGTTATCGTGTTGCACACGTTGAAATCGGAAAAGAATCAAGTGTCTGCCGCGAGACCGTGCCATAGAAATCGTATCGATCAACGGGTTTCCACCCTCGCGAATATTGTCCTCTCTCTCTCTCTCTTTCTCTCTCTCCTGTTGGAACCGGAGTGGAATGCGTTTTGCCATATTTTTTCTTGGCGCGGCGCGCCGCGTCGTTCGCCTGGCGGCTGCAGAAACTCTTACGGCCGGGTAAATAGTGGAAAAAGGTGGCTGCTGAGGAAAAAGAAGGAACGCGTATAAAGGATGGCCGGACAATTTCGCGAAGGAGCATTTCACGCAGCGCGAGCTTCGGAATGCGGTTCACGCCGCATGCGAAATAACAATTTCGCCGGTCCTGGCCGCCGCGAAACTTATGTTCCTCCCGTCTACTAGCCTAGCTTCTCTTCCTTCTGACGTCTTCCGCCAGCTACCTTTTGTTTTTTGCTTAGGCTTGTTTTTATTCTTGTTTCTGGAAGATTGGTTAAATCGCGGCGGAACTGCTTCGTTTGGGTAAAAACGAAGGGAAGGGTGGATTTATGGTAGCGGCGTAACTCTTGCATGAGAAACAATTGCTGGATCCAGGCGGGTCGATGAGAGTGAAAAATCCGCGATCGTTGGGAAGTGTGCGTTTGATGGATGTCGAGGGAGAAGGTTGATTTAGATGTTGGATGTAACGGTGTGCGAGCAAGAAGGAATTGCTTGTGTTTGCCACGGTATTTCGAATAGTTTTTTGTTCGCTGAAGGTGTTTGAGTGTATGGTGCGGATTTGGTGCTGTTGGATAAAGCGGTTCGATAAAAATTTAACGCAGGTGAGAATGCTTCCTCGAGAATGAAGGCGCTGTTTTAATGAAAATAGTAATTTCTGAGAGTGTTTTGTTTGGATTTCGAAGTATAAAGATGGTTAAGTACTGGTTGAGTAAGTGATACAATGTGAAATCATTCGAAATATAGTTGAGAATTTAATAGAGAGAATTAAGTATGATTAAGTAAGAAGCTTGAGTCTCACAACACTCATGTAAATCACAGTTTGTCTCTCATAATTATTATTATCTTTTAATTGATTCTCAATACTTTTCAGAAAAATAGAAATTGAAAAGAAGCCCAAGTAAGACGCTAACATTTTATTTTCACTCGATTTCAGAAATTAGAAAAAGAAAAGGTGGGTTAATATTGTCACAAGATTATCAAAAAGAATACCGCTTCCCCCCAAAAATGTCCCAATAATGGTGCAAAACTTTGGAGCTGCACAAGTCAGACGAGCGTTTCTCTCTCGAAAAAATTAGCCCCGTGAAAAGAGATTCCTCCGAGTGACTCCGGTAAATCCCCGCGGCAAGAAGAAGACGCGGGAGTCTCTGGACCTTTCGGAATTTTATCGAAGCAGTCCCAAACGTCGGCGATAAATCAGTAGTTTTTATTCCAGCCAGCGACGCCGACGACGACGACGTCGACGAGGAGGATGAAAGGGATGAAGATGCTCACGTTGAAACTGCAGCGACCACAGAATTCTTGTATGCAGCGAAATCAGGACTGCTGACCGAGCTCCGTGACTGAATGCTCCCGTTGCATGAGAACCCATACACACGCGAGCTCTGCATCGGTGCACGTTCGGTTGCCTTCACACAGGCGTAAACGAAGACCATGGTCCATATGTTCTTGGGTTACGTGTGTGTGCGTGTATATACGTGAATGCGGTGGGTACACGTGTGTGTGTGCACACGGTCGGTGTATTTTCGCGAACAAAACAAGAGCTCGGCTCATTTTCGATTTGTTGCCCGTCTATCTGAAAAATAGAGGAGAGCAGCAGCATCGCAGGCCTGATCTTTTTGTTCGCTTGCCGTGCAACTGTTCTGTGGTCGATTCTAGTCTCGAGTAAAAATCATCGACGATTCGCCGTTACGTTTCATCACCGGTGGGATCTTGATTGAACGATTCGATCCAGGGAAATTCAAGCTTTGTAGTAGACGACTTTTTAAACATTGCTGTTGAATATTTGGTGCTTTTAAAGTGGCGGTAATTTGGCACTTTTTAAAATTTTTATTTATCGATATTTTTTTGGAATATGTATATGGTGTCTGGTAAATGGGAAAAATTGCACGTCGAATCAGAGAGGTTGAATTTTTCTAACTTCATCAACATTCAGTTTGCCTCATTCTCAAGTTTATAAATAGTTCTGTGAGGCTTTGCTGGTTTGAGGTTTTGAGTAATGCAAGCTCAAATTTATCAATATTTTTAGGAGACTTGAAGTAATACAGACTTAAATTTGTCAGTAGTTTTATGAGGCTTTGAGTAATACAAACTCAAATTTATCAATAGTATTATGAGGCTTTGCTGCTTTTAGGCTTTAAGTAATGCAAGCTCAAATTTATCAATATTTTTAGGAGGCTTTGAAGTAATACAAACTCAAATTTGTCACTATTTTTATGAGGCTTTGAGTAATACAAACTCAAATTTATCAATAGTATTATGAGGCTTTGCTGGTTTTGGGCTTTGAGTAATGCAAGCTCAAATTTATCAATATTTTTAGGAAGCTTTGATGGTTTGAGGCTTTGAGTAACACAAACTCAAATTTATCAATAGTTTTATGAGGCTTTAAACTAAGTTGAAGTAACACGAACAAAATATCAAATTTCTAAATGTTCAAAGTACCAAAAATTCATCAAACTAGCGTAGATTCAAACAGCCAACTAAAATACTCAAATTTTGACAATCGTGAAACCGTACAATCAAGATTCCGTCGTACTAACGCGTACTAAGGCATTGTATTAAATGTGTTTAACACGCGCCTGTGGAAAAAGAGCGATCGAGAGGCGGAAATTTTTTTCAGAGCCATTGGAAAACTTTACGAGCGCGGTCATTCAATTATTATAGTTTCCCCAACTCCCTCCCATTGACTTGTGCGTTTTTGTTTTTCCAGACGCGGCACCGCGAAATACTTGGTCACTGTAAATATCCGCGGCGGCACGTGAACACCGAGAACAATAGCGTGCTCTATCGGCGGGAAAATATTTTCGATAGGAAATCGACTGCCATGCGAGAAAAAAACATATTTTCACCGAGGATATAATTTCTGTTGTTCTCTATCACGCGAGGAGATCGCAAGGATTGATTTACTGTGCTGTCTCTCTAACGAGAAGAACGCTCCGATATTTACGATTGCTCTATCAACGGAGCTTTTGCCAGTTTTTGAAACTTATCGAATCATATGTTTCGCTGTGACGAGACGTGAACAATTGAAATTGAATTTTAACGAATGGAACGAGAGTTGTTCAACCTTTCAGAGTACAACTTCGAATTTCCACGTGATTATTGCTCGACGTGTTATTAGGGTGTGAAATAATTGGGGCAAATGAGAGATTTTCCATTCTCCTTGAATATTGAAATTCAAAAAAATATTGAATATTCATGTTTATCCAACTCTTTACGTTGTTAGAAAAATTTGAATTCTTAAAAAAAGCTTCTCTCAACCGACTGCTTCAACTATAATATTACAGTTGATGATAGAGCTACTATAAAGGGTTAAATATAGTAGTCGCGTTGGGTATCGCTTTTATCGTGAAACTGACCAAAATCCCAGTAAAACAATCTTATAACAATATTTTGACGTACAAGAATTTATTTTTACGTACGTGCTTACTATCTACACTTCCAACGTTAAATTACCGACAAACAATTTTTCACGACCCATTTTGTTTATACAACTCAGAAATTTTTCATGAATCTCAAAGTGAACACTCAAAAATATTAAAAATACCAGTTTATACAGAACAGTGACTTCAATTTCACTTAATAGACTCCATCGTAATTAACTTAACGTTGAAAACGTAGCGAGTACTCATAGTAGTAAGTAAAAATTAATTTTTCTACGCCAAAATGAACAAGAACATTTCTTTTCTCCCAATACGAATCACAAATAGATATACAATCTCAATTTTATGAAATTATATCTAAAAATTGACGGAAAGTTCTCCGCGACAATTAACGAGGCAGCACAATCCTATTGTTTTCTCGGTGTTCTCGAGTTCGCGTAAAAAGCGTTTACAGACTAACGTACCTCCTCTAACGATACTAATCCAAAAAATGATTGTACTAACTAATGAACAGGTTCGTAATCTCGGAGAGGGAGGTAACACCTGTCTGGATTCGCCGGCACGCAAGGCAGACTTGCACAAACCGGCTGGACTCTACCCCTGCCATCGACAGGGCGGAAATCAGGTACAAAATAGGCGCACGGAGGCTGAACCTACACCACGTGGCAGACATATTTTAAGCCCCGTCAGCCGTTTGTTTTGCTGTCAGCTCCGTTTTTCGCATTTCACGCGTGAAGCGAAAACTCGACTTTCCTTTTTTTAGCTTTTCGTTTGATAGTTCGTTCCTATTTTCTATTTTGACTCTTAGCATTGACGTGTAGTTTTTTTGACGCACGCTCTTTCGTTCACGCTTCAGGGGAACTGAAATTTTTAGCGAGTCTGTTTGCAAGTGATGTACGACTCGAAGCTTTCGAATGTTATCGGATTCGCTGAAAAGTTATTTGGTAGATTTTGTTTTTTTCCGATTTTCGGAGCGAAGGATATATACACACACACACGTGAAGAGAGGAATATTTTAAGTCGCAAAATATTCAGTGTTAATTCGTTACGGTTGCATAGAACTTTGAAACTCGGTTTTTGAAAAATCGTACGTGTTGTCTTTCACCGATTTTGACGAAACTTTGGTGTATAGTAGTTCTCAAAAGAAAATATTCGATACGTATTTTTTTATGTTGGCAAGCTTTCACGGTGAGAGGGTGAAAATCGTCCTGAAAGTTGAATGTAGTAAATAATTTAGTCTCTCGAAAATTATTAGAAATCGAGGAATAGTCTAATTTCACAAAGTTTCTATTTTTCAACGACAAATTTGAAAAATAAAAAGGAATGAATAATTTGTTTTGAGGGCGACTTTCACCTCTTTAATGTAAAATATTGCCAATAAAAAAAAATACCTGTTAAATATTTTTTTTAATGCTACTATATACCAAAGTTTCATCAATATCGATGATTATCACTGAAATATTCCCTCGTTAGTGTGTTTTATCAGTAAACTCACGATCTGTTTCACGAATTAATTTTTACAGTCCCCCTTTCACTTCAAATTTATCTATTTCCCCATTATCTCATCGAACATCGGCGACAAAACACCGAATCGAAAGTCGACTTCCCGCTTTCACCACAAAACTAACCCTCTAACACCTATTTAACACGTAACGCACCTCTGCATGCCTGTATGCACAATCTAGTTTCATTTGTATATCTAACTGTGTGGCTTCGTTTTTTTTTTCCTATCTCTTCAGGGTTACGAGAGACGAGATAGAAAACAGCATTTTACGTGAATCTTAGATCGAAGGATACACAAATATTTTCGTTGGTTTGTTTTGTTGGTTGTAAGAGAAAAACAAAAAAGAAGAATTGGTAGTAATTGTTTGCTATTCTGTTAATTCGCTGCAGATCAGGCACCTCGTTAGCAGCATATGTATAGACTCGCCAGGGAAACCTGAAGACCTGCACCAACCAGTTGGTTTATATCCCTGTCACCGCCAGGGAGGCAATCAGGTATTCGAGGGAATGGGGAATGTTAAACGAGCGCGAATTCGTGGCTTTGCAATAATCATGGGGGCACGTGGTCGTCTAACTACCTGTTCTACTTTTCGTTCGAAACGGATTTACGAATCTGGCGAACATTTTCCCATGTTTGTTAGATCGTCGACGGTGATGGGATATTTGAAAATGTACCTGCTCGAATCGTATTGGCGGACTGAAATCGGTTTGTGACTGCTTATGAGTTACTCGTACGCTAAGTTTCGTGGTAATTCCCTTTGAATTTTTGTCGAAACAGAGTTAAACGAGGTTAATGTTAAAATTTCATTGCAAGGAATTTTTTGAGGAAAGATAAATTATGATGCTCCAAAGAGTTTTATTTAAAAATAAATTATTTCGGTTGTAATAATGAGAAAATTTCGTGGAAATTGTTCGACAATTTTGTTTAACGTAGAAGTGTAAATTAATACTTTTGCAGAGTTCGTTTATTTTTTCATTATTTTTCTAAAGGAGTTCTCGAGGATTCAGAGTAACGTGTTCGAACGATGCATTTACTTCGTGGAAGAAAAGGTAGAGGTGATTTTATTTCTGTTATTTACTGTGGAGGATATAAGATAATATATCCTGCAATGTGTGTCTGTAAAAGGAATACAGTGTGGAATTACACGCTGCATTCATATTACAGGTAATAGCATTTCGTGATTTAAAGCTAAGTGATATTACACAGATTATCTCAGACATGTGTACCTCTACACGTGCGTAAGTAGTGGTAGTCAATGATATGGTATTTATGACGCTGCTATGTGATTACACGGCAAGAAGAAGTTATTGGAAGCTTCTTATGAGAATACAGGTGCAAAAAATAGCAGAACAGTTTGATGTAATCTGTAATAATCTTTTTTGCTCTGGTGCAAAATTCAAGCAATGAAAGCAAAGTGTACTAACAGTGAGTATGTAAAACAGAGTGGATTGGTTATTTGGTACAGACATAATTTAAAGGTATGAAATTTCAATAAACACTGATTGCAAAAGTAATAAAATGATAATTTAATAAATTTGAATAATGTTGAACAAAATTATAAAAAATACATATTAACACAGTCTTCCTTTGAAACATTTTTTATTTTGTCTAGACATAATTTAAACGTATGAAATTTCGATGAACACTAATTGCAAAAGTAGTAAAATAATAATTTAATAAATTTGAATAATATTGAACAAAATTACAAAAACTACATATTAATTTTATCTTTCTGTGAAACATTACACTGTTCCATTGTTCTTCCTCACGCATTCAAGAACGAGGATTTCCCTAGGATTCTTCCATTTCGCTTGAAATTCTTTCTCAAGATGCACACCTCGGAACCGAAACAAACACGTTACTCTGACAGAACTGGGACGTATTCCTTCAAAAAGAAAAGACTTCCCGTCTACTTTTCGGAGACAATCCATTCCTCGCCTAACCTTTGTCTCGCGTTATTCATCCTCGCGACAATATGTAAACCAGTCAGAAATCAGTTTCCAAAGCAGGACATGGAAATTACACACGAAAAATCTATATCCTAATTGCACAACAAAGTTTCCTCGTATTCACCGCACAGATATTTACGAATTTTCTTCGTTGGAATCTCGCAAACGACGAACGAGCGATCGTTTACGATAATCGCTCTGCCAGGCACAAGTATCGCTGGTGAAGGAAGAAAAAGGGACCATTAACCGACGACGCGTTTACCATTTAACTTGCACGCTAACTCGGTGCTAAGCTCGACCCATTTCGCTGCAATTAGTAACGTCGCTAATCTGGTGCAGGTGCTCATCAATCGTCGACTCTCTTTCTCTCTCACTCACTGTCTCTCGCTTGGTTCGCTGTTTCTGTATCTGTCTCGCTTTTACACGTGTGGCACGACGAGTCAAGCTTAGCTTTCTCTTGGCGCGGCTATCTACTCCTTGTCGTCATTTTTAGCTTCACGTACCACAGTGTCGAATTAATCTTCTGGCCGGTGGGAATCACCACACGTGCTGGAAATTATCACCCTGGGTGTAACTGCACGCTGAAGCTAGAATAATTGTTCGTTCACCTGGTTATGATGTGTCTCTCTCACCACCCTTTGATAAGAATATGCCAGTCTTGATGGATAGATCTGCTGCTCTGATCTCGTTTATCTTGCCTAGCGAATCACTCGTGTTATTAGCTGCTGAAATATAGCTGTACGTGGAGTGGAAGGTGGTTTTTTCTTTTCAATTTTAGATAAGAGAAAGGGTGGAGGGTGATGATGTGCTTTGTTGTGACTTTGGTTATGTGATACGTGAGTTAGGATTTGAAGGGTTTTGTGTAACAACGTTGTAAGTATCATTAAGTGAGTATGTAAGAGTGATCATAGCACTGCATCAGCAGAATGAATTTTTTTAAATTAAAAATTATTTTGTAGTAATAAGTGCTTCGAGTTCTCATTTCAACATGATAGTTAAGTATAGCAGGTTTCTTCGTTTTTTATTATCCCTGAGAGTTTTATTTTTCGATGCTTGAAAAATTGTGGTTTGGAACCATTCGCTGATTCTCTGTAATTGAAGACGTTTTATAATGATAGGATTTGAAAAAAATTGCAGTGGTTTTCACTGTATTATAATATTAGGTTTGCATTTGCTAATTAGTTAACCGGATAGAAGAGAGAAAGTACTTCAGTCAATGCAACGTAAATATGCAGCTGAATTCATGATAAATTTATACGATAGATTCGGTCAAAGGAAGATATTCATAGACTAAAATTCTCAAAATTCGTATCATTTTAGAAAGTACAAAAATAGTCTTTGGTTTTAAGCTGTATTTAATAATTTATACAGCAATACAGTAATACAGAAACTGATTTAATATTTCATAGAATACTTGACTGCCTATGAATATTTAGCAATCTCTCCGTAAAAGCACACATATTTTTAGACGAAACTGACTGTGCTCCAGAATCGCATAGACGAATACAAAGTAACACAAGTCATCAACAATTTTCACTCCATCATTCCATAATTTCTATACCTTTATTGTCCTCATAACTATCATTTTATGGGTTTGTAGTAGTCACTCAATTACTCATTCCAATTGAGTCTCCAATTTTCTCATTCCATTGTCATCAAAGGTGCTCTTCTTTTATACAGAAAAGTTGCAAACGAATACAAAACCCATCATCAACAATTTGCATTCAATCATTCCCACTCACTTACTCATTCCAATTGAGTTCTCAATTTCTTCACTCATTCCATTGTCATCAAAAGTGCTCTTCTTTTATACAGAAAAGTTGCAAACGAATACAAAACCCATCAGCAACAATTTGCATTCAATCATTCCCACTCACTTACTCATTCCAATTGAGTTCTCAATTTCTTCATTCCATTCTCGACAAAAAAACTCTCCTTTTCTATAGACAAAGCACAAACGAATATAAAACCCATCATCAACAATTTACATTCCATCATTCCCAGTCAATTACTCATTCCAATTGAGTTCTCAATTTCTTCATTCCATTCTCGTCAAAAAAGCTCTCCTTTTCTATGGACAGAGTACAAACGAATATAAAACCCATCATTAACAATTTTCACTCCATCATTCCATAATTTCTATACCTTTATTGTCCTCATAACTATCATTTTATGGGTTTGTAGTAGTCACTCAGTTACTCATTCCAATTGAGTCTCCAATTTTTTCATTCCATTGTCATCAAAGGTGCTCTTCTTTTATACAGAAAAGTCGCAAACGAATACAAAACCCATCATCAACAATTTGCATTCAATCATTCCCACTCACTTACTCATTCCAATTGAGTCCTCAATTTCTTCATCCCATTCTCTCCAAAAGAGCTCTCCTTTTATACAGAATAATCACAAACGAATACAAATCCCATCATCAACAATTTGCATTCGATCATTCCCACACATTCCAATTGAGTCCTCAATTTCTTCATCCCATTGTCATCAAAAGTGCTCTTCTTTCCCTCGGAAACAAAGAACACCAAGCAAACACGGTCACGGCTAGATATTTCGCCCAGTTAAAAGAAACAAATGGCCGTGGTAGGGAAAAAAAAGTAAGGCAGTGCTCGTTACCAGGCGAAACGACGGCTGTCACGTCGAACCTGTGGAAAGGTGGCCTCGTAACCGGCCACTCGTCTCGTCGTTAAAATCACGCAGACGACGACGACGACGACGACGACGACGACCGACGTCCACGTCAACGTGGAAGAAGAGTACAAGCTCGCGCGTGAATCCCGGGCGTCGTTTCGCACAAAAGCTCTACGTTTCCCCTCGGGTTCCAGCGCGGTTTAACAACCGTGACAACCGGTTACAACCAAAAACACAATCAGTCGCCGCTCGCTTGGCCTCGTAAAGCGCCGCTTTAATTTAGCTATTTGCCCTAGCAATTAAGCCGCGGTTTCACGGTAATTACGCCGTTGCCCTGAACTCGACCGACTCTCTGATGCAGTCGTGGCCAGCGAGCGTTTCCGTTCGCGTCCATTGATGATTTCGACGCGTTCGAGTGACGGGAGCCCAACGATACAGTTCTAAACGATGGAAATTTACTGGACCATTTCAAGATCCCCCTTTTTTTTTAATTGGATTGCCCTTTTGACGTGGTAGTTTGTACTCTTTTTTCTCTCTCTCTCTCTCTCTTGTTTGAATGATCGGATTAAATAGATAAAAGGATAGATTGATAGTTCGAATGTTGTATTTGATAAATGTCACACTATTTGAATATTTGCATACTTTCATTATTGTTAGAAATTCATTTTAAATTTTCACGTGAATTAATATATTTTATATTGTGAAATAAAATAAAGTAGATAGGGTTAAAATTTCCTTGTTTTAGTTTAGCGAGTAGAAAGTGAGCTGATTGGATTTTCGAAAATTGACAATCATGGGATGCGTGATTGATGATGATGCGATATTCCAGTTGGAGTAATTCGTAATTAAACAGACATACGAGAACGACGAATGGTTGAATTCTCTAAATAACCGTGCAGAATACAATG